TAAGGCCCGGCTTGACAAAGCCCTGGCTGGGATTTTGTAGTTGGGAATTTGGCCTGCCTTGAGCAGGGGGTTGGACTAGATGACCTCTTGAGGTCCCTTCCAACCCTGATATTCTATGATTCTATAAAGGCAATTTGATAAGCATGCTCTTCCATTAATTATAGGCACTTTATACAGAAATATGCCAATTCCTGGCAGTGAGGGATGCTACTCTTGCCTCAGTTCAGTATCAGAACCTAGAATTTTAGGTGTCTATTCTTCTCAAATAAGCACAGTTGGTGATGAGAAGATGAGACTCCTTAGAACAGTGTTTCCCAAACTGGGGGAGGGGTGGGGCGGGGCGGCAGCAGAATGCCCTAGACCAATCTGAGGAAATGAGGGTCAAAAAGAGCTCTGGGAGCTCAATGAGCTTTCATGGGTAAAAAAACACTTCTTCAGATGCATCTGAAGTGGTTTCAGGTTGCATCTGAATAAGTGTTTTTTTACCCACGAAAGCTTATGCCCAAATAAATCTGTTAGTCTTTAAGTTGCCACCCAACTCCTCTTTGTTTTTGTGGATACAGACTAACACGGCTACCCCCCTGATACTTGACATCTATTACAATGGCGACTCCAGGGCGAAAAAAGCTGGGACTCTGCCTTAGAACCTGAAGCACTTCTGTTTTAGAAGGAAAACAATTTCTGCATGTTTTCATTGAAAGAGTGAAAATTCTCATTTGCCTTACCTGAAGTTTTCTTCGTTTTACTATCTGTTTGCACCGCCGGTTTCTTTGTTACTTCATGTTTACCTAAGTAAAATAATTGTAACTTAAGAACTCAATACAAACAGGGGTGCTGGAACTGGGCCTAGCTTGAAGTAGTAACAACCACCAAATACATAGTTTCTGCTTTCAGCACCAGCGCTATAAAAACTGTTCCAGCACCCTTGAATATAAGTGGATATTATTACACCAATTTCAATCCTAAAGGAATCCCAAACACACTACAAAATGGTATACAATTCATAGGAATCACTTCATCCATGACTGAAATGCAACCAGCTCTGGAGTAAAAAGAGGCAGCTATTTAACAGTGCACAGCAACACAACAACAGAGACAAGAAGTGGGCAAGAACAACAACAGTAACCGCAGAGGGAGTTAGACAAGTAAAATACAAATTAGGCTAGGACACTGAGGTTTTGTTCTTACAAAAAGTGTATTTTTTAATGACCACAAGTAATCTGAACCTCAATTTTACACCTTATCTGAAGAAACAGACACTAAGGCTTGGTCTACACTACCCCCCTAATTCGAACTAAGGTACGCAACTTCAGCTACGTGAATAACGTAGCTGAAGTCGAAGTACCTTAGTTCGAACTTACCTTGGTCCACACTCGGCAGGTAGGCTCCCCCGTCGACTCCACGGTACTCCTCTCGCCGAGCTGGAGTACCGCAGTCGACGGCGAGCACTTCCGGGTTCGACTTATCGCGTCCAGACTAGACGCGATAAGTCGAACCCAGAAGTTCGATTTCCAGCCGTTGAACTAGCGGGTAAGTGTAGCTAAGGCCTAAGGCACTGGATTCAATAATGACACAAGGAGAGTTCCACCAACTGAATCAACAGCAACATGTATATTTAAACACCTGACTGGTTTCCCATCCAAATACTGACTTGTCCTAATCCTGTTTACAGTTGCTTGGGAAAGCTAATGGAATAACAGTACATGGCGGCAGGGCTGTTTAGTTACTTTCAAATGTATATTAAAAAAAAAAAAAAAAATCTAAAACCTACCAGCAAGTTTAACTGCTTTTGTTGTGGTTTGTCCGGCTTTTGTTAATTTTCCTGAAGTAACAAGAAAAATGTGTCATTACAAATCCTAAATCAGAAGACTGTTTTGCTTTAAAAACATAAAGCCTGGTGGCAAAAAATTATAAAGCCCTATTTTAGCAATGGTCTTCAATCTTTCAGTAGGGTGTTAGACCACTGATCGATCAAATGGAGCCTGCATTGGGATCTAGAAGGGAGCATAAGGCACTTGCTGCAGTGCCTCCTGACAGCTGAATAACTGAGCAGCACTGGTCTGGACCTTGGAGGCAGCTGTGCTTATGGGGCTGATCCATAGCCTATTAAAGTTAATAGAAAAAAACCCATTGATTTTATAGGACCATAAATACCATACTCACCTTTTACAGATAAAAGCATACAACTTGTGATCAACCTATTGGAGCACAGGAGTTAGGGATTTATTTTCTTAAGGAGTGTTTGGTTGCATTAAGAGAGGAAATTTCAAGGAGAAACCAATTGTTTTCTAGCCCCCTTCCTGGGCCTGCTTTCAGTCACAACCAGAGTTAGTAAAAGTAAACCCAGACTAGCCAAGGAGGAAAGGGAGAGATTATCAGAGAAAGAGTGACTAGAACTCACCTGCAGAAGCAGCTGGAGTAACAGATTTAGTCTTCTTAGTGGTAGTACTGTTTCCATCTTTTCTAACATGCGAAAGAAACAGGATCAGAGATGACAGGTGGATTTCATAAGTTTTTAAAAAACAATTTCACAGATGTGAAAACATTAGAAAGAAAATGGATTTCCACCCATTACTATTTTCAAGAATTACTAGCAAAGGTGGTACTTACCATGCATGCATGTCAACACTTACTTTGTACTCAATGCAGCTTTCTTTACATTCGGTGGAGCCTTCTTTAGACTTACTTTGACCTGTAATTTATAGAAAGAATATGAAGTAAAACTTTACTGTGTTCTCTACATCTTGTTTCTATAGACTACATCTTCTATGGCTCCCAAAAAAAAAATTACATTTATCCAAATATATACATCTTCTGTCCATAAGCAAGCAAAGAAATGCAAGAGCTGGAATCAGATACATTTATATTTGTTTTAGACTACTGTTCCTCCATAGGTGGAGATCCATACCAATCTTAATTCCCCAAAGAAACCTGTAGCTTTAATCATTCATTTTCTAAAGCTAACTTAAGAAGCCAACAACAAAACATTACCCTATTCTCCAATATCCTGCTTACCTGGCCAGGAGGTGCTTTTGGTTTTTCTGCTACGCTTATTTTCACACGCTTCCCATTTACCAGCACTGGCACTGTCTCACCATACTTCACAGCTGCTATCACTGCCTCTTTGTAGTTCATTTCTAGGAAGGCCTAAAATAAATTGCAAGTTTGTTTTGAATTATATGCCATACAGTTGAACACTAAAACCAAATTATATTTTGTTTTAGGAGATCTGTTCACACCATGTGACCGTGAAGGAATATATACACACAAGTCGGAAATTTATTGAAAAAAAAAACTGGAATACAGTTTTACAGGAAGCAACTTTTAAAACATATCAAATATCTAGATGATTCAACAATTCTCAGCTCAGAAAACAACTAAGGCTTATTTTGAAATTGACAGAGCTAATGGTGCCTGTTCTTGCAAGACGACCTATGGCATCTTTAATGGCTGAAACAAGCTCGGTGGCCTTAGATTATAAGCACTTTGGCACTGAGAATTGACAGGTTTCAATTGTTTGGCTTTCCTCCCCACAAAGTTCATAGCCATGTGCATTTAAGACACTATAAGTATGGCATATAGATGCCACATATCAATGGGCACCTTAGAATATAGCTTACCTCATTTCTAGAGCGAAGCACCAGGAGGTCACTAACTTTACCAAATGGCTGAACAATTTTTTTAATATCTTGATCTGAAAAGCCATCATCCGGCAAATCCGATATATGGAGAACTGTGCCACAACTCAAAAGCTTCTCTCTCAACAGCTGTAAATAACAACCAACAATTTTCTAAGCCACACACATTAAAAGAAAAAAAGCTTTGAATGAAAATCATTGCAAGTTTAAAAACAGACTGGTACGTTAAACAAAACTGCCAAAAGTTAATACTAGGATAGACTGTAAACCTGCCCTCCCTTATTTCATAAGTATGTCTAAAAGTTTTTAACTTATTTGTAAAACATGATGTGGGACCACAGTATAATGTAACTGTAATATTATTATCTACTTTGAATATTAGGGCTATTAGTTTTTAAAAAGTGTTATAAAGTTTTAAAATCCTTTTAAGTTGTTTAGTCTTATGATGCATAAGGTGCTTCACAGGTTCACAAATATTACCAATGTCATTTAGTTTCATTTGGATATCGTCTATTTAATTTACATTTATCCTATTTAGAAAGATATAATGTTCTCTTTGCTGTACACTTTGATGATGGAAAATTACCTGCTTCTAGCAGCATGATTGGTTGCATCCATCAAAACTAAACAGTGGTAAATAAGAATAAAAAAATATTCTGCAGACACCACCCACTTGTTTATGGATGGTTTAAGGTGCCTATCAACAAATTTATGAGAACAGAGGTCATGTCGTTAAATTATTCAACTGGGACCCAGGAGATCTGGGCTCAATTCCTATCTTTACCAGAGGATTCCCATGTGTAGGGCAAATCTAATCTCTCAGTGCCTCAGCTCCTTATCTGTAAAACTGAGATAGTACTACTTTGTCTGTCTTGTCTATTTAGGTTGTAAGTTGCTCTGGACAAGGTCTCGCTCTTAGAATGTGTATATACAAGTGCTTAGCACAATGGGGTCCCTCAGTTGGGACCTCTAAAAACTAATGTAATACACATTATTAATAAATACATAAATGAATAAGGACTACGGAATAGACAGTATTAAAACAAGTACCACAGAAATGCATATTAATTGGTCAATACTGCATTGCTCTTATTTCCAAGAGCAGAAAAGTGAATTCATGCTTAGAATGCTGTCAAAGTCAGAGGTCAGAATGACCTATACGCATCTCCTGAATAATTTTCAGCTTTGAACATATCGTGTTGCAATACTGCTTATCAAACTTACTAGCAAGTAGTAAACTGCTACATTTAGACTACAATTTCTACTATACAAAGCCAGCTAACCAGCTGTTTAAAGGGAATAGTTACACCTTTTTCCAAATGATCTCCCTCAAGATGAGATGATTAACCAAATCCTCAAAACCACAATGGAAAATACAAAACCACTGACTCTGTTATAAGGAGCGGGCCGAGGAACATTGGTTTCCTTTGCAGCTTTCCCATCAAAATTCATCTCTTTCTTTTCTTGCACACCAGCAATTTCAGATTTCATTTTAGAAGCAGCCGAGCCAGGCACAGATGATAAATCTTTCTTCAAAGTCTTGTGATGACCTGTAGCACTTAGTGGCTTTTTCATAGATCCATGCATCTTCCCTACCCCTGAAATCCCTTGTGCAGGTGATGCTTTTCCTATCCCGGAGGACCCTTGTCCAGCTGCTTGAAGTGATTTCTGTTTATTGAACTCTGCAACGAAACTGGCTCCCAAACTTTTTACTACAGCCTCCAAGGCTGCCTTTTTGTCTGAGGAAAAGAAAAACAGTTTTTCTATAATACATTGTTTATCAGTTTCCCAAGCAGGATTGCTGCTGTAAGAAACGGCAGATTTATCTAAACAAATCTGATAATTTGCAAAAGTGCAAAGGAAAATTATGAAAAAAGGTGAAAAGACAGAAAGGAACCTAGTATTTTTAACCAAGTTTGTTTTCCTTTAATCATTGTATATAATTAAAACTGTAGCAAAAACAAAACTTTACTTTTTACCATGAACATTGCCTGTTTTCTTTCAGCAATACATTCATAGCCCGGACAAAGGAAGCAGACAACAGTCAGTTTCCATTCCTAAATGTGTGCAGTTGTACAAAGCTGCAACGTTTGGATTGCAAACACCGCAGGGGAATTTTTCAATACCCAAACACTGTTTTAATTGGAACTTAAAAAAAATTAAAACAACAACATTTGTGTGTAAACAAGGCTGAAGTTTTGGGCCTCAATCACCCCAACCACACAGTATATCCCCTTGGCAAGCATGACTCCATTTTCATAACTAAGTCACACGCACAGTTGCCCAAAAGAATATGAACTTTTAAGAGCTGCACACACTTTCAAACTGGGTGAAACGGAGTGAGGGGCAGAGAAGAGGAAGAGAATCAAAAGTGTCCATGGGTACTTTATATTTCTAAAATCTTCCCAGCTAGCATCCTAGAATTTTTTTTTAATCCCATCGTGCTCATCATTCCTCAAGCCACCTTTTAAGAGAGACTTTCAAGTGTGAAAGAATTAGTAGAGATTTTAATATAGCTTTCTCTGCTCCTCCTCCCCCTGCACTACACTACCTCCAGCCCTCTCCTCTATTTATTGCCCTTGCCATGCATCCTCCTGTTCCTCTTTCCTCTCTTCTATACTGCAGTTGCCAGAGCAGCTTTGCAATTATTACGCTGGGGGAGGGAGGGTTCTTAAACTGCTCTCTGCTCCAATCTCGCCTCATTGATCCAAGAGCTAAGCAGGGGTACAATTAACATTCTCTCAGCAAGCAATGTAATCCCTTCTCCCCACTACTGACACTGCTAGAAGGCAGATCTTGCAGATGAAATGAGGAGTGAGGAACCTGATGCCCTTCATAGAATCTGCAATGGTTGAGAATGTCACCAAAAGCTACAATGATACAGGGATGACATTCCACACTGTTTTAGGTGTTGCTGAGATTTGAGGGGGGGGGGGGAAAAACCCACACACCACAAACTTTTACAGGAGAAAAAGAAAGCTGAAGTATGGAATTGTTAAAACATGGTTCAGTTCTCATGGCTCAGGAGACACCATCAGCTTACAAAACATAATTGTCTGAAAATTTACCACTTCTATTATTAACACCTATCAAGAAAAAGGGAAAGAAAACAAAAAAACCCACACCTTTCTCCAGCATTGTTCCAGGCACTTGACAGCAGTTAGTGAATGGTGAGTTTCACTATTTCCATTATATAATCAAATTGGCAGGTGGGCTCGAGGACAGGTAAAGTTGTGGGGAGGGATAGCTCAGTGGTTTGATCATTGGCCTGCTAAATCCAGGGTTGTGAGCTCAATCCTTGAGGGGGCCACTTAGGGATCTGGGGCAAAATCAGTACTTGGTCCTGCTAGTGAAGGCAGGGGGCTGGACTCGATGACCTTTCAAGGTCCCTTCCAGTTCTAGGAGATATCCTATCCTATCTCCAAAGTTTCTGAAAACTACCAAAGTTTCAGTCTGATAGCTTGCCCTTTAATTTCTGTACTATCCATCTCCTTACCTGGAGATCTAGTTGTCCTCCTTGATGCCCATTCATTGCTAGCAGATCTCTGGGGTCGTGGACTACACCTCAGAGGATTTCTAGATCGTTGTGGTGACCTAGACCTGTGTCTAGGGCTAGGACGACGCATCTGCCGTGGACTTCGACTTCTTGGTCTTGCTAGCCTGAAACGGCCAGGGCTCCTGGATCGGGATCGAGATCGGGACCGGCGAAGAATGTGGCCAGAGCCTGATCCTCTTGAATGCCTAGGACCAGGACTAGCAGAGTTGGAACGTCTCTTTGGGGTCTGATTTTCTTTTCTCTCGCCTTCATTTCTGTGAAACAAAGGTAGATGACCAGATTACCCAAAGTAGTTCCTTATCTAATTTGAAAAGGATCAATTCAATTTAAACAGTCTGTTGAAACAACTTGTGAAAATAAAACTAAAACTGGAGATAAAAGTAAGTGTGCTTCAAACTCCAGTAACACAAGTTCCTTAATGGAATTTAAGTACCGGGAATTGAGTTGAAGAGAGGTGACTAGGATAGAGGTGACAACATTTGAAGGGAGAAGGAGAGGAAACTAAAAAGATAACCCCAAGGTTTTGAGCATAAGAGACAGGGAGGATGGTGGTGCTGTCAACAACAGAAATAGGAGGAGAAGAGGGTTCATCAGAAAAAAGAATTAATTATGTTTTGACTAAGTTGAAATTGAGTTTCGTGATGGGCAATATAGGACAATAACCCTGCAAAACAGTCAGATACATGGGAATAAACAAAGACAACATGCCAGGATTGAAGTAAATATTAGACAGCTGCAAATAGATGTTACCTAAATTTGGGTGAACTGATGCAGACGGCAAAGTACAAAGTATATAGGGATGACATTACAGAAAAACAGAGCCCTGAGGGCCAGGGGGAGAAGAGGGATCACCTTAGGAGACAATGAAAGCAGTCAGAGGTAGGAGAACTTTGATAGGCCAGGCCACAAAAGCCAAGGAAGAACAGGATGTCCAGGAGAGACTGAGTGACTAAAAACTGCAAGGTGACTGAAGATTCATAGAGGTTCTAAGACCAGAAGGGACCATAAAAATCTAGTCTGACTTCCTGCATAACACAAGCAATAGAATTTTATCAGTAACTCCTATATCAAGCCTATCAGAAACAGATGAGAAAGCAGCAAATGCAAAATGTGAGGACAGGAATAGTGGGAAGACAGTGCAGTGGGAGAGAAAGGTAAAAGAGCTGTCTGCAGTATGAGGCTGTATACTAAATTTCATCTTAGTGGAATCTGAAATTAGAGAAAGGCAACCTGTAAAATCTTATTACTCATATCTCCATTAAAAAACGTTTTTATATTACATAGACTAATCACAGTAGTTAAGTAGAATCATAACACCGCCCTGTGGATGGAAGATCCAGTAACTACTGCTGAACTGGGAACAATGCACAAGTAATACATCAGGGCCCTTGGAAAACAGCCAGCAGCTCTGGGTCTGACTGACGCCTCTCAACAAAAATAAAACCTTGCACACCTTTAAGCCTATTAGCTCCCTCACCCCAAAGATTGCTATCTAATGTTTGACGCATTCCTAGAGGTAGGAACCTTTTCTTTCGCTTCGTTCTGTACTGCACTGAGCATGTCAGCACTCCAAAACAATCATTAGCAACAACAAAAACATGCACTTGAAGTTTTAACATAAAATTTTCCCTTCATTCAATGTTTCAAAACTTAGTCAGCCATATGTATTCTCAGACAAAATCATTAATACATTTAAAAAGGTGCCTGTGCACTAGATCTGTTCCCAGTAATTTGTGTGTTCATATTTTCAGCCTTTTAACAAGGAGCTTCCCAAGAGAGATAGAATCATAGAAATATAGGGCTGGAAGGGACTTCAAGAGGTCCTCAAGTCCAGCTCTCTGGGCTGATACTGCACCTAGTAAACCTAGACCATCCCTGATAGGGGGTTTATCCAATCTGTTCTTAAAAACCTCCAATCATAGGGATTCTACAACCTCCTTTGGAAGCCTAATCTAGAGTTTAACTACTCTTACCATTAGAAAGGTTTTCCTAATATCTAACCTAAATCTCACTTGCCACAGATTAAGCTTATTACCACTGTCCTACCTTCAGTGGACATGAGAGCAAATGATCAGAGTCCTCTTTATAACAGCTCAACATATTTGAAGACAGTTTTCAGATTCCCCCTCAGCCTTCTTTTCTCAAGACTAAACATGCCCAATTTTTTTAACCTTCCCTCACAGGTGAGGACCTTTTATCATTTGTTGCTCTCCTCTAACCTCTCTGCAATTTATCCACATCTTTCCTAAAGTGTTACCCCAGAACGGGATACAGTGCTCCAGCTGAGGCCTCACCCGTGCCAAGCAGAGCTGGACAATTATCTCCCATGTGTTGCATACAAACACTCCTGCTAATATATCCCAGAACAATATTTACCTTTTTCACAAATGCACCACATTGTTGCCTCATATTCAATTTGTGATCAACTATAACCCCCAGCTCCTTATTTCCATTTTGTATTTGTGCATTTGATTTTTCCATCTTAAGTCAAGTACTTTGCACCTGTCTTTGAGTTTCACCTTGCTGAATTCAGATAAATTCTCCCAAGTGTCAAAGTCATTTTGAATTCTAATCCTTGGAACCTTTCCAGCTTGGTGTTATCCACAAATTTTATAAGCATACTCTCCACTCCACTATCCAAGTCATTAATGAAAATATTGAATAGTACCAGACCCAGGACTGACCTCTGTGGTACCCCACTAGATACATCCTCCTAGCTTGACAGCGAACCATTGATAATTACTCTTTGATTATGGTCTTTCAACCAGATGGGTACCCGTCACATAGTAATTTCATCTAGACCACATTTCCCTAATTTGCTTATAAGAATGTCATGTGGAACTATGCCAAAAACCTTACTAAAATTAACATATATCACATCTATTGTTTCTTCCCTATCCCCTAGACCAGTAACCCTGTCAAAGACAGAAATCTAACATTTCATGATCACTTTCATGCAAATTGCAATAGGCTGACTTCAGGAAACAGAAAATTATCCATCTCTTTCCTGATTTATACACAAGACAAGCTAAAAATACACACACAATTCTGAATAACAGAATATTCTGATTGTGCTGAAATATAAATAGAATTAAGCGAACAAGAAAAGTAGAGATTGCAGTCTGTTTTCAAATAAAGTTGTTTCAAAATTCACGTATGCATAGATCTTAAGGTCAGAAGAAACCATTAGATCATCTAGTCTGACTTTCCATATAACACAGGCCATAGGTAATGGTGACATACTATCTACTGAGCCCAGTAATTTGTGCTTGACTAAAGGATATCTGCCAGAAAGGCATCTAATCTTGAGCAAGACAGTACTGCTCTCCATGCTTTTCCAGAGACTGTTCACTCAGCCTTGTACTTTTCTCTGAAAGAGGAGCCCCAACAGTTTAGTACTGCTGTTGTGTAGAGAACCTATGATCAAGTATAGGAAACCTTCATTTAACATAATTGTACAATAAAAACATAAGGGCACCATAGCTATTACTTACAAGCAGCAAACTAGGTAAAGGAAAAGTAAATCATTATTGTATTCATTTTTTATTGTTGGAGTAATTGAAAATTGCCTTATTTCTCAAAGGCAGTTACCTCTTCGAAGAATGGACCTCAGGATTCCAATCAGGATACCTGTTTTAAAAATAAAATAGTCAATGCAACAAGTTGAACTTGCAACCTGAACTACTCTAAAATGAGATTTCCAACTACGTTCCTAACTTATTTACACTGCAATAGGTTATGCAGCTCAAGTCCTGGGGCAGCAACAGCTGTAAGTATATAATGTTAACTTAAACTCTATCATAATTACCCAAAACAAATAAGGATGATCGATACATACAGGGCTAGTTAAAGAAATATGACAGTGATATGCTATACCATATGACTACTATAAAAAGCAACAGATCCAGACTAACACGGCTACCCCTCTGATACATATGACTACTGTATAAACGTACACACAAACAGAAATCCCTTACTGTTGACGTAACTGACGGCAGCTCTCAATGTGGGCAGGATTATTCTGATGCTGAATCCAATCCTGTTGGAGAAAAAGATATTCACAGAAGTTTGATTAATGTATAAATGCCAAAATTTGTACAAAATTAATATAAAGCAAATTTTTCTATTGTGTCTTCCATCACTGGCAAAATTTTAGTCATCAAAAAATCTGATGTTTAGTTCAACTCTCATCTTAAAATGGCTACATTTTATACTAAATAAAAAACCACTAATATCACATTAAATTTGTTAACGCACACACGTACAAATGAAGTCTTTAGCAGGAGTTACATAGAAACAATTCATTACATTAAACGAATCAGCAATTTATTTGCTTCAAAAGAGTGAGTTGTTTCAGTCATCATTACTTCAACTCCATCCTTAGAGGTTTTTAAGGTCCAGCTTGACAACGCCCTGGCTGGGATGATTTAGTTGGGGTTGGTCCTGCTTTGAGCAGGGGGTTGGACTAGATGACCTCCTAAGGTCTCTTCCAACCCTAATCTTCTATGATAACTCAAAAAACCCTTTAACAGCCACTTATGTACAAGACTATTAGCTATCATCTAAAAAAATTTAGAGTTTAATGTGTTACTTATGTTGAGAAAATCTGACAAACTAAGAAACTGTATAATTTCAGCAAACACAGATGTGCAATTTTAAGATGTTAGATATCAAAAGCTAAGTCATTAAGACTTATGCCATTATAAATGCCTCAAACTCAAGAACAGAATTTTAAAATGTTCATCCTTACTTATGCATTAAAATATATGGTAAACAAAAAGTTTATTTTAAACTTTTATTTTATGTCAGTTAATTCACGTGGAGATGAAGCATTTTTTACCACGTATAAACACTGAAATATTTTTTATTTATATTTGGGAACATTTGGCTGGAAATTAATAGCTGTGACACTATAGCCTAAAGGACCAATGTAAGGCCTCACACCTGCATGTGCTTAAAGTTAAGACCATACATGAGTAGACCAAATGAGACTAATTAAGATGTGCAAGACTGGGGCAAAAGACATTATTGCCTAATCTACACTAGCAAACTGACCTACCTTTTGCTGAAAATTATTGGTACCAATGGTCAGTTTGCCAGTACAGACGGGCCCAAACTTGTAAAGTACTGAGTGTTCTCAAATCCCAATGAAAGTTTCCCTAAAGCCAATTTCCATTCCATTTTAATAATGGTTTAAAAACAGATATTATATATTGCAACTAAATATGTAAACTTTTATAAAATAGCAAAATTCTAACGTAAAACCAGTTTTGCAACAGGATGAAAACCAGTTTTAAAATAAATTAAATTGAAGTCCCATGCTACCAAAGCCACAAGTGTTCCTTGTTGCAAGAACACAGTTACTGGTAAAAGTATATTATTTTTCCAAACACATTTCAGAGTTTATACCATATATTTAAAAAAAAAAATTCACGTGTGAAATTTTAGAATACTGTCCTGTCTCCTGCCACATACCAGCAGAAGTTATCATGATAGTGCAGAGAAACATTTGTAATGGCTTTTTTCTTTTAAAGCCACAAAAAGGGAAATTCAACTAACCCTGTCCTCAACTAGATCTCTCCATTTAAGTAACACAGCAAGTTCGGTACAAAACAGCACCTCACTGCTCGGCACTACCCACATATCAAAACAAAAGCATGAGTTACAAACTAAAAAAAACAGAAAATTCAGGTGTTGAAAGTTTATTTTTATTTAAGTCTGTAAAACAAAGTTAACCAAATAAAACTTCCTATAGGTTTTTTTTAAACCAGTCTCAGAGGGGTTGTGAGGATTCATCACTAGTGTTTGTAAAACATTCTGAAGATTCAAAGTGCACAGTATTACTCATACTTTACTATTAAAATGTCCTTAATTAATATTAACACTTGTTTTGACAAAATATATTAAGAACTTTTATTTTTATTTTTTTAAAAGAGGACTCCTCTTGAGATTGTTTTGCTTCAGGAACAAAAATATTGCAGACTCTGAGACACTACCACTGCCATAGCTGACTGCAGAGCTGTATGCATAGCAAAGAACACTTAAAGATTGCAACTTGCAATAAAATACAAATCAATTTTCAGAAAAACTATTTCTCCCAAATATCAGCATCCATTTTTCCTATTCTTAGAATAAACTGTACCTAGGCTTAACACTTGTAGCTAAAAAAACTGGAGATTAAATTGATTCATCTGTGGAAAGAAAGGGAAAACAATTAACCCACCCATCTTCTTTCTGGCCCCAAATTAGAAAAATCACCACTCATTTTTAGGGAGGGGTGTAAAGAGGCCATTTTGTTTCCAAGTCTCTTTTTAGCTAGCAATCCACCTAGCATTAACCAGAATGGCAGACAAAGTGATTCCAGACATTCTCCTCCCTTACAAATATGCTAATCATTTGCTCTGAATCTTAATTTCCCCAATTCCCTCTTGTATTTCATATCATCATCATTTCCAGTGTATTCCTTCCAATTTCCAATCTGATTGCCTAATCCCAAAGACTATCCCTCTCCCACCCTGCTATACAAGGATTTTCTTTCTGAAAAAGGTATGGCCCAAGATCCCTCTATAGCATGGTAAGTGTTTCTCTTTCAGTCAGTCAAGCCTCATCTACATTAGCATCACACCTGTGCTCTTGTGCATACCAGTTCTGCTGCAGAATGTTATGTAGATGAGCTAGGAATAAAGATGAATAGAATCATATTTTGTCCTGTGAACTAAGTAATGTATGCAGAAGCATACACATAGTTCTATTTTCACATGTTTCAGATTGAATTTAAAATCCAAAAAGTTTCAACCCAAATAGATTTAAAACAAAGGTTAAAACACCTAAAATAAAATAACTAGAACATTGTTGCCCAATTATAATATCCAATGAACACGTAACAAATTCATTCAACACTGAAATTACAAACCAATCTCATTCTAAAAACAGTGAGAATACGGACACTTTTAAAGCTATAATGTATTTCTACTGTACAATTTACCTAGAACTGTGATGTTAAGTCATGAAGGAAGTTACATTTCCTGGATATATTCACTAAATGAGTTAGAACAATCCTGGTTATTTTATTTGTTGCACAAGAGGAGGCTTTTCCCGTTTCTTAAAAAAGCTTGCTTATTTTGAAGGAAAAAAATACCCCCCCCCTCCCAAAAAAAAAAAAAAACAACTGACAGATAATCAGAAGAATTGCCATTCCATTTTTTTCTCTAACAGAAAAATAGTTTCCACCTGAAACAAAAGTCTGTAAAACAAAAAAAACAAAAAAATGGAAATATTGAGTGGACAGACAGGATTCACAATAAAACAAGTCATCGATGATGAAACTCAAATTTTCTGGCTTTAATTTTTGGCTGGCAAAAAAATAATTCAGAACTCCAACTTGACTGCAAGACTTTTACACCAAACAGCATTCAGCGCAGCAACCCCGGTCAGAACCACAAAAAGGAACCAAGGCTTGGAGGTGAAAAACAATATGCATGCAATCAACTTATTTGGGCCACTCAGAAGTTCAAATCTTTATTGCTTCTCTAACCTCAAGAAGCCTATCAGGTTCATCATGTGCTGTGAAACTGACCAGTCCCATAAGATAAAGCAGGGTTTGGTTGAGTCAATACTTAGACCACACATGGACAGAAAGATACCACCTCAAGTTGTGCTGGTGGCACTCTTCTCTGTTGTCAGAAAACAACCAATACCCAATACCCCAGCATGGTAACTTTGTGATGCTGCTGGTGCCATCTTCATAGAACCAAGGCATTGATCACTTGTAATTATTAGAGAACCGATGGCCAGTTTTTGTAGCAACAGTAATTTTAACCCCAGTGGTCCTTGCCAAACTCCACTATGTGTAATTACATTATTCCTCAAATTCCTTCTACAATTTGAAATGGCTATGCTATTCTTCACTTTCTGTTCTAAACTATGGTAAGGTTGTTATGCACTATTAAACTGCTGCATTCCACTCCAGAAATGGCTGCATTTCAATGGTGGCAGGAATGATCATACATATCCCTTACAAGGAAGTTGTGAGGTTTAATGTTGGTAAACGCTATGAGGTCTTAAATAACTGTGCCATACAGATGCAAAATACTATAATCTTTCAGTTTTGTACAGCTATTGCAATAGAGAGGCATTAAAAAACTAATTTCAGATTAAAATGTTGTATTGTATCAAAGAGACAGAATGCTAAACTTCAGAATACTGTGAACATTAGGACCACCTTCAGCTGTGATCAGACCTCACAAGTTAAGCAGGGGTATGTAACTGCAGGGACACCCATAGGGAAAAGCCTAGGATGGTTCAGGTAATAGCATTAGCACTTTTCCCTCAACCATAATTGAACCAGTGCTCCACAGTGGTGGAAGAGCCAGGCTGAGAGATGGCTTCTTTCAGATGAGACAAACAGAAGGTGTTGGTCTTTGGAAATCCAATGGCACTTTCCCCAATAGCAGTAGTTAACCCTAAAGCCATTGCAGAGAAACAAAATTTTTTTGCATCTGTCTTCATGGCTCAGGATGTGAGAGAGATTCCCAAACCTGAGCCATTCTTTTTAGGTGACAAATCTGAGGAACTGTCCCAGATTGAGGTGTTATTAGAGGTGGTTTGGGAACAAACTGATAAACAGTAATAAGTAACCAGGTGATATTCACCCAACAGTTCTGAAGGAACTCAAATGTGAAATTGCAGACTACTAAATGTAGCTTGTAACCTATCATTTAAATCAGCTTCTGTACCAAGTGACTGGAAGATAGCTCATGTGATGCCAATTTTTAAAAAGGGCTCCAGAGGTTATCCCGGCTGTTGTCAGTAGCTACCGGTGTGGTGCTCTGCTCTTGTTCGATGATAACAGTCGGCTGTGTGTGTGTTCCCTCTGTGTGCTGCCCCAGCTCTGCGCAGATAGGTGACACAGCAAACCCTGAGAGAACCCCCAAAGACCACAGACTCTAGTAAGGTACGAAGGAACCCATGCCAGGTTTATTGTCAAATGAAGCACAGTAATAGTTTCCCGTAGACTCTACAAGACATACTACGAATTTGTGCCCCCTGGCAATGGACACAGTTCAGTCAGTGGCGGGACTTTCCACTGCCCCCTAGGCCAGACAAAGATACGCACTCCAAGGCCTACTTTTATAGAGTTACAGGACAGATTACTCATCCCTACTGACCCTTGGCTCATTAGGATGCTGTCTCCTCCTTTGATCATGTTGTCCCAAACAGATCTATCCATCATGTTGTCCTTTTGACCCTGTCTTTAAGATGCACCTGTCTGTTCCTTGTTATCTCTGTAGAGTGTTCTGATGCCATCTTGGCACAAGTTCCTCTTATTAGCACTTATGTGTGGATGCACCTGCTTCTAGCAACCCTCTTCTCGCCAACTTCTGTGAGTGGGGCCTGCCTCTGGCTCACATCCCAGCTTTTGCTTAGCAATGCCTGGAAGTACTTTGGTTCAGGCTTCAGGCCTCAGACTGGGTCTCTGACACAAGAGTTTATGTTTCAGGGCCTCTTCTTACTACACCGGCACTTACAGGCCGGTAAGCCTGACTTCAGTACCAGGCAAACTGGTTGAAACTATAGTAAAGACCAAAATTGTCAGACACCTAGATGAACATAATTTGTTGGGGAACATAATTTGTTGTTTTTGTAAAGGGAAATCATGCCTCACCAATCTACTAGAATTCTTTGAGGGGGTCAACAAGCACGTGAACAAGGGGGATCCAGTAGATATCGTGTACTTAGATTTTCAGAAAGCCTTTGACAAGGTCCCTCACCAAAGGCTCTTAAGCAAAGTAAGCTGTCATGGGATAAGAGGGAAGGTCCTCTCATGGATTGGTAACTGGTTAAAAGATAGGAAACAAAGGGTAGGAATAAATGGTCAGTTTTCAGAATGGAGAGAGGTAAATTGTGGTGTCCCCCAGGGGTCTGTCCTGGGACCGGTCCTATTCAACATATTCATAAATGATCTGGAAAAAGCGGTAAACTGTGAGGTGGCAAAATTTGCAGATGATACAAAACAACTCAAGATAGTTAAGTCCCAAGCAGACTGCAAAGAGCTACAAAAGGATCTCACAAAACTGGGTGACTGGGCAACAAAATGGAAGATGAAATTCAATGTTGATCAATGCAAAGTAATGCACATTGGAAAACATAATCCCAACTCTACATTTAAAATGATGGGATCTAAATTAGCTGTTACCCCTCAAGAAAGAGATCTTGGAGTCATTGTGGATCGCTCTCTGAAAACATACACTCAATGTGCAGCAGCAGTCAAAAAAGCAAACAGAATGTTGGGCATCATCAAGAAAGGGATCCTAGATAATAAGTCAGAAAATATCATACTGCCTCTATAGAAATCCATGGTACGCCCACATCTTGAATACTGTGTGCAGATGTGGTTACCCCAACTCAAAAAAAATATATTGGAATTGGGAAAGGTTCAGAAAAGGGAAATAAAAATGACTGGGGTATGGAACGGCTGCCATATGAGGAGAGATTAATAAGACGGACTTTTCAGCTTGGAAAAGAGAGGACTAAGGGGGGGGGAGAATATGACTGAAGTTTATAAAATCACGACTGGTGTGGAGAAAGTAAATAAGGAAGTGTTATTTACTCCTCCTCCTAACACAAGAACTAGGGGTCACCAAGTGAAATTAATAGGCAACAGGTTTAAAACAAACAAAAGGAAGTATTTTTTCACACAATGCACAGTCAAGCTGTGGAACTCTTTGCCAGAGGATGTTGTGAAGGCCAAGACTATAACAGGGTTAAAAAAAACTAGATAAATTCATGGAGGACAGGGCCATCAATGGCTATTAGCCAGGATGGGCAGGGATGGTGTCCCTAACCTCTGTTTGCCAGAAGCTGGGAATGGGCAATGGGGGATGGATCACTTGATGATTACCTGTTCTGTTCATTCCCTCTGGGGCACCTGGCATTGGCCACTGTTGGAAGACAGGATACTGGGCTAGATGGACCTTTGGTCTAACCCAGTATGGCCGTTCCTACATTCTTAGATCCTGGCCAAATTGTGCTTCCTCAACATAATCTGTTACCTCAGCTACATAAGTTATTCTTCAGTTCCTGTCCAAGATCATGCGTAAGGTTACTACTGCTGGTGATACAGTGGTTGCTGCACCAAACTCCAAAAGGTAACTAAGTTTCAGTGGGGAGAAAAAACAGACTCCTATGTATGTTTAAGTTTATACTTCTGTATAATACTGGCAGCTGCTTTACGTAGCATCCTTTGCAAACAATCACCACTAATAATTTGAACTTGAGAGTCAGCTGTCTTCCTACCAAAATGAAACTAGTCTGCATCCTCTTTGACATATATTTCCCAACTTCAGAAGAAGCTGAGGTGATGGGGGTTTTCCCCACTTTGCCATTTCTCTCATCCTGTTCATAGTTCATTATATATCTTTATTTGTTATCACTGCTTGCTTGCCTTTCTTCTTTTAGACTATCTCAAGCTTTTCCTATTTGCCATTTTATAAAGTCACAGTTTGCACCTTGGAGAGTCTGAATCAATTGCTCTGCAAAGTTGTAGCATACCCAAGCTAACAAAAAGATTAAAAAAATTTAACCTAAAAGCAAAACATCTGAAGATCCAGTTCTGGTACAAAAAAAACTTTCAATCATATACTTGTCTTTTCAGCATAACATTTATCATGAGTTCAAAGAGGACAATAAGATGGATGCATAGAAATCTTTACCTTGAAATCTTTCAATTGTAACTGAAATACAAAAAAACAGATGTTTTACTTGAAAAAAACAACTAGAAAGCTGAAACCAAAAGTACTGTTTGGATTCATGAACTTTTTGGAATACATATGTACAGAGTGTTAACGAACTTTTGTTGAAAGAAAGATCTTCGTTCTTTGCTTTTAAAATCTGATTCCTCCCCACCCTTTGTACCTTTGTTTTTCAAAAAAGGCTATTCAAGAATATCCTGGTTGTTTTGCAACATTTTCTTCTAAGCCACATTAATGAATTCTTGTGAAAAATTCTCAACTGTCCACACAGCAGCAACACACGTACATTAAATAAGGTTGCAGAATATTCAGGTTAAAAGAACTGCATCTCCAGTCAATACTTGCAGTATAAATATTTTCTTGAATTTAAAAGGGACAAGTGAGCTAGGTACTGAGTAGTTCACATCCAAGAGAATCAGCTACATAAGTTACTTTAGAAAAGAAAATCACTAATTACGAACCCAAATTTGTTACTACATTCAGCATTAAGTAACATTCTATTTTAATCAGAACCCCAATTTCTTTTTTTAAGTTTTAACAATTTAACAGAATAAAAACCTATACAGACTAAAACTAGAAGCACTGAAGCCCATTAAAAAAAGGGTATTTAAAATACAGTTGTACTCCTACAAGTACAGAAGCTTCTCTTGATTGTCCTCAACCACATTTAGTCCTCTTTAAAACAAGGCAGTAGTAATGCACCAGGAAATTCTGTGGAAGCTTTTCCCAGGTTTTGCAAACTTTTGGTAACACAGTTTAGGCATATTTAAATATATGAAAACCATGCTGAATTCTTTTGCAAATAGTTTTAAATAAAAAAAATCACCCTTTTTAAAAAAAGTTATTTCCAACATCCTGTCATTTACTCCCCAAGGTCTTCTCCTAGAATGATCTTCTCCTTTCCCCATACTCCCAAACTCTTTGAAGATTTTAAACACTGAAATGGTCTTTCGGTTTCAGAATTGAGACCCCAGTTAGATAAATGAAAGCAGTTAACACCTCTCAGAGCTACTCTTCAGTCTCTGGTAAGACCATCTTGCACCAATTCACATTCAGAGTGATATCTCTGCAACCACTCAGACTGCTTTTTTTTTTTTAATGATTGGGGGGCGGGGGGAGAGAGAACATGGAAATCTATCCTAAAACTGTGCTGTTGTATGGAAATTGCTGTGTGTTTTTCTAGTGGCCTAGTTATGAGGTGTTAATGAAGAGAACTGTTAATTTCTCTGCCAAATATAATATTTAAAAAGCCAGTGCAAAAAGACCTAAGAGCCTTAATATTGATGTAAAGAACATTTGTGTGCCTATACAGTCGTAAGAGCAACAGGCTAGCCAGTAAAGTTATAGAGGTGTCTGCCAGTATTAATATTTCTAATCTTTTAAAACCCACAGATCAGGAATCATACTGGAGCACAATATGCACAAGCTTCCACAAGTTATCTAATGCATAGTAAAAACTAATGAATAAGATAACATGTAACCATATGTTGGATACAACAAGTTTATACAGTAATCTTTGAAAAACACTCACCTTCATATGAGTGCATTCCATGTTACACAGAGAACACATATGTGGAAATATCCTTGGAGATGTAGCATAGTAGTCATTCATCATAGATGGAGTAGGAAGTCTCTTTACCTTCTGGGCAGCAGCCTGTGAAAACACTGGAAGCCAAGAGGCTTTCACAATTCCAAAAGGAGACTTAATAGGAGCTTCAACTTGTGTCTGGAAGTTCTTCTGACCTGAGCCAATCTGTGCATTAGACTGATTAGTCCCAGATTCATGCTGAATCCTTTCATGATGTCTTACAGCTGCAAGAAGTTCAGCTGAAAAGGGTGGATGGCTGATAGGTGGCATCACAGGTTGGGCCATAGGTGGCTGGGTCAAAGACTGCTGGACAATAGGTGTCATCACAGATTGGGGCATAGGCGGCATAACAGGCGGCATCATAGGCGGCATCCCAGGCTGGCTCATAGGTGGCATCATAGGCGGCATCCCAGGCTGGCTCATAGGTGGCATCATAGGCGGCATCCCAGGCTGGCTCATAGGTGGCATCATGGGTGGCGGCATCCCAGGCTGGCTCATAGGTTTCACCATTGGGAGTCCTGTAGGTGTCATACATAGCCCTGGCACCTTGCCTGCAGCATCAACTGGAAAAAATGACTGAGTATTGGATGAATCACTATGGAAACCCATCTGTTTCATTAATTCCTCAACTCGAAACATCGGGTTACATGTTACATTGGATGGTGGAACTGAAATAGTTTGCTGCGGTTGAAATTCTTTCCTGTTCTCTTCAGCTGGTTCTTCAGGATTGTATACACGCACCTCAAGAGGATCTTCAGTGTATCCATACCTGCTTGTGTGCCCATAATCAATCACTTTGCTCTTAACAGTTGAACCACCCGTTCCACCAACTGTTTCTTTTTCTCTGCTCTGAGAATGTAAATTGGGTAACTGATGACCCATTTTGCGCATTCGTATATCCCTCAAAATTAGTGGCATGTTTTCAGGCGTTAACTGATCATCTGGGTAGCGACTGAGTTCCTCCAGATCTTCATTAGATAATCCAAAACTTGCTAAAATACTTGATGCACTCTCTGTTGTATAACGGCTCTGGACATTCGTATTCTGCTCTGTGATCCGGGTTGACACGGGGTGCTTTCGGCTTGTGTTTCCAGTTGGACATGGATTGTTATCCCAACGTGAAGTACGAACCTTTTCCTTTTGCTCTTCCTGTAAGTTTGCCATCTCCTTTGCTTGCCTTGGATCGGTTCTGTGTTGAGTTACCTGAACGTTAGTTCTTCGTGATCCTGTCCGCTGTAAATTTTCATGTCCTCCAAATCTTTGTGAAATTCCTTGAGGTGTTCCAGGTGCAGGCTTTCTTTGAAGACCTGGTATGCCACCTCCCCTAAAAGCTCCTGGAGGTTTTGAGCCAGATGGGTTAGGTGCTCTTGGCCTCTGATGCAAGTTTCCTCTGGGATTAAACATGGCGATTTTCAGGAATGCCTGATTTAACAAAGTATAAGGTGGTGTAGAATTGTTTGAAGCAGCTGATGTCAACTGCTGAAGAGCCAACTGCGTCTTAATTTGAGCAAGCTGTAAAGGAGGAGGGCCCAACAGAAGTGGACTTACAATGCCAAGGTTCAGGGAATTCACAAATGGTGCGAAACTTTCCAAGAACAACACAAAGCTGAAAGTTAAAACACAAATATTGTATTATTTTCTTTTCAACTACTTTGTGCACTGGATTCCACAATGCAAGCAAAACATTTTTTAAAGGTCATGAAGCAGTATTTTAATGTCATAGTTTAAAATAAATATATATATATATATACGCACACACACACGCACACAGTAGAAGGTAGAGTTTTGTGAACAACAAAGTCAAATCTCTTGCTGTAAGAATTCTCATCTATTCCACCGGGCAATTTGTAGTTAAGTGTATTTTGCCAAACACCCATAATTATTATGTTTTAGATGAGACAGAAAGACATCCAGCTGTTGTCTTCTCCTCAGCAGCATCTTCTGATCAATGAGTTTTAGATCTTCAAAGAAACCTCTTCAAAGCCACTGTAAATTACTTCACAAAATAGTATAAGCAAATTTTAAAATCCTTTACAAAACACAGAAAATGTATGTTACATCCAAATATATTCTATTAAGAAAATAATTACAAGACTACTGGAAAGAAACATAATTGTAAATGAGAACCTTATTTATGTAGGGTACATTTTTTTTTAAAACAATGTGATCAATTCACCCATGAAGTTATAATGCTCTTATCTGGGACTAGTTTCACAGGTTTTCAATGTGAATACCAGTGTAACTATTCCCATGATTAAGGTACTATACCAAAACCCCATTTAAGGGATGTGACAAGTGAATATTTGTATTCTGTGTTCAGAAAATTTTTCACATATTACAAGTAAGAAGCTGTACTGATTGTGTACCTGTACAAATAAAGACCATCTCACTCATCTCAAAGGTGAAGCTACTTAAGGCAAGAGCAAAAAATTAGCACGACAATGAACTCTTCTTTCTGAACAGTAAGCTTTTTCAATTCCAGATGAAGGCACAGACAAGTGACTCTTTCAAGATGACAGAGGCACCTACGAATAAGGATAGAGTACAGTCAAAAGTTGCCCAAGCTAACCAAAAAATGAACAACTGCAACTTGGCTCACATTCTTGGGAATAAGGAGTTACAAAATTTGGGAGGTCTTTTGAAGCTTGGAGCCTGAATTGCACAGTTCTGTCTGTACTTACAAGTACATCAACTACTATATTGTAAAGAAGCTAGATCAGACTACAACTTCCTGAAACTAGTTGTTCTGTTAGTTTCATTTTTTCTACAATAGTTTGGGCTTCAGCATGAGGTTTTATAGACGAAATCTCATTGACAATCTAAAACACAGCCTGTAACTTCCTTTCCAGTCATTCTCAATTTTCCAAACCGAACTTCTTTAACAGAGTTGAAGTACTTGTCTCACCACAGCTAAATCCATAGCTGTTTTGAAGTTTAAAAGCATCCTATTTGAGTTGAGCAAAACAAAAACATTTCTCTAAAAGGGAAGTGCCTCTCCTTCATGCTTGCAATTTAAAAATGGCTCTGCTGATTTACTTCCCTGGGAATTTTCAGCTCAAAATGCAAATGTTTGACAAAGCTATGAATGGAAATATCAGAGACGTAAAGAATAGAGTGGTGCTTTCCAGGTTTTTTTCCAAGTGCTTTCAGTAGTTTTGATGTCAGACAGGCAAAGGAAACGCAGAGCTCATCTTTAGGATATAAAAGAACGAACGAGCGAACACGAGCGGCTAAGAGGACAGTTTTGTGAGGGAGTTCTCCAGGTGAAGGAGGAGGGATTAGGTTACCCTTGGGGTAAGTTTGTTGTCTGTAGTGTCTGTGTTTGTCGTGTACATGCTGCCTGAAATATACCCTGTGGTCTGTTTGGGGGATCGTGTTTGTGCTGAGCCTAGCAACCTGCTAGGCAAGGCTGAGAACTTCTTGGCTAGGCTTTGATCTCTAAGCCCTTTAGCACCCATCAACCCTTAACCAGGGGGCGGGGCTACTCAGGAAGACCAGGGCTTTAAAAAGCCACCTCCTAAGGGGCCAGAGGAGCTAGGGAACAGGAGTGGCTAACAGGGTAATTTTGCGAGGGAGTTCTCCAGAAGGAGTGTGAGGGGGGCTAGTTACACTTAACATTCCTTAAACTTTAAACTTAAAGCCAAAAACAGCCCCAGATTAAAACAAAAGAACAACAAAGGAACCAGCTTCAGGAGTAAAAAGAGAATGTAGGCAGAAGTCAAGCAACAGAGTGGGGGCTATCTAGTTTATTGCACCCAATACAGCATGTCTGATTAGGTGTATGTGTGCATTTGATGCAAGGAGCTCCTGGCCCTCAGAGACCGTGTACAGGCTTTGGAGACCAGAGTGGCTGAACTGGAGGAGCTAAGCAAGATAGAGAGGTACATAGATGAGACTTTCTGGGACACAGAAGAACGGTCCCACCCCCAGTCTGACAGCCTCTGTGCTGTTGAGGGGGATGAAAGTCTCAGGGAAGGAGAACATTGAACTGGAGCAAAGGGAAATGATCCCATAGTTAGGACCCTCCTTCCAGATGTTGTCGTGGTATAGAATCACAGAACTGGAAGGGACCTTGAGAGGTCATCTAGTCCAGTCCCCTGCACTCAGGGCAGGACTAAGTATTATCTAGACCATCCCTGACAGGTGTTTGTCCAACCTGCTCTTAAACATCTTCAATGAGAGAGATTCCACAACCTCTCTGGGCAATTTATTCCAGTGCTTAACCACCCTGACAGTTAGGAAGTTTTTCCTAACATCCAACCTAAACCTCCCTTGCTGCAATTTAAGCCCATTGCTTCTTGTCCTATCCTCAGAAATTAAGAACTTTTCTCCCTCCTCCTTGCAACAACCTTTTATGTACTCAAAAACTGTTATGTCCCCTCTCAGTATTCTCTTTTCCAGACTAAACCCAATTTTTTCAATCTTCCCTCATAGGTCATGTTTTCTAGACCTTTCATCATTTTTGTTGCTCTTCTCTGGATTTTCTCAAATTTCTCCACATTTCCTGAAATGTGGCACCCAGAATGGGATACAATACTCCAGGTGAGGCCTAATCAGCGCGGAGTAGAGCAGAAGAATTACTTCTTGTGTCTTGCTTACAACACTCCTGCTAATATATCCCAGAATGATGTTTGCTTTTTTTGCAACAGTGTTACACCGCTGACTCATCTTTAGCTTGTGATCCACTATGACCCCCCAGATCCCTTTTCGCAGTACTCCTTCCTAAGCAGTCATTGCCCATTTTGTATGTGTGCAACTGATTGTTCCTTCTTAAGTGGAGTACTTTGCATTTGTCCTTATTGAATTTCATCCTATTTACTTCAGACCATTGCTCCAGTTTCTCTTGCTGAGGATACCTCTCCAGGGGAAGGAACTCCAATTATTGGGAAGAGACAGGTAATAGTTATGGGGGATTCGATCATTAGAAACACAGATAGTCGGGTTTGCGATAACCGGGAGAACCACATGGTTACTTGCCTGCCTGGTACAAAGGTTGCAGATCTCGTGAGATATCTAGACAGACTTATGTGTAGTGCTGGGGAGGAGCTAGTGGTCGTGGTACACGTAGGTACCAGTGACAAAAAGGAAGGATAGGTGAGAGTTCCTGGAGGCCAAATGCAGGCTGATAGGTAAGAGACTGAAGTCCAGGACCTCCATGGTAGCATTCTCTGAAATGCTTCCAGTTCCATGAGCAGGGTCAGTTAGACTGGCAGAACTGCAGGGTCTCAATGCATGGGTGAGACGATTGTGTAGGGAGGAGGGGTTTAGATTTATTAGGAACTGGGTCAACTTTTGGGAAAGAGGGAGCCTATACAGGAAGGATGGGCTCCACCTAAACCAAAATGGAACCAGATTGCTGGCACTTAAAATCAAAAAGGCTGTAGAGCAGTTTTTAAACTAAGGGTGGGGGAAAGCCAACAGATGCAGAGGAGCATGTGGTTTGGACAGAGACATCCCTTAGAGAATCTCCATTAATAGATCCTCCCCTATGTCCTAGTAAGAAGGAGAGGGTGGAATATGATAAAATAAGGGTAGGATCTGATGAGAAACAGTCAAATGAAAAAGAGGCCCATTTAATTACATCATGTAATGGGAGACAACTAAAAAGAGACAAGTTTTTAAAGTGCTTATATACAAATGCTAGAAGTCTGAATAAGATGGGTGAAATAGAGTGCCTCGTATTAAATGAGAATATTGATATAACAGACATCACAGAAACTTGGTGGACTGAGGATAATCAGTGACACACAGTAATACCAAGATACAAAATATATTGCAAAGACAGAACAGGTCATGCTAGTGTGGAAGTGGCGCTTTACGTGAAAGAAAGCACAGAATCAAATGAAGAAAAAATCTTAAATGAACCAACTGTACCATAGAATCTCTATGGATAGTAATTCCATGCTCTAATTACCTACCACCTAACCAGGATGGTGATAGTGACTGTGAAGTGCTCAGGGAGATTAGAGAGGCTATACAAATAAAAAAAAAAAAATACAAAAAAAAAATAAACAATAAATAAATAGGGGA